CCATCGCTGTCTGCAGATATTCCCTCATCCCCAGAAGTAAAAGGGTTCTTGAAAGCCATCAGGAAAGCAAAACAAAAGCTAGTGGCAGAAACCGGTACCAGACAATCAAAGACAAATTTTTATGACAGGAGATATGAGACATGTACTGTCAAGGCTCCCAAGTCAATGCTGGTTTCCCATTCTGAGGCACCACCAGGCTTTTTGAAAGCTGTTTTTAAGCTGATAACACTGTTTTTCTAAATATGTCTAACTGTGAGAGATAAAAGAGCCAGCAAGATCTACAAGAGTCCAGGCTCAAGATCCGTTAGTGTTGTTATCACCAGTTCAAAAGAGTTTGAAGGTATAATGGGAGGAGGGTCCATGCACCCTCTCTTTTTAAAGACGAAAAAAGAAAAAGATACTGTTCCAAGTCTTTTAGGCAGAGTTCTTTTAAAATGGAAAAAGGATAAATACCTCAGACCATGTAACCATAAGTTACAAACTTAATTTCATCCCCTTGCCAGTCTGCTTTGTCCCATGCCACGGCCTAACTGACGGATTCAGAGATGACCTCTCAGCCACCCTCCATGCCTGGCTTCAACCAGCCTGACCAGCATACACAGCAGCTCGAGTGTCAAGAGTAAGATCTTACCATTAGTTAGTCATCCTATCCTGCTTTGAGAGCTAGCAAACTTTATTATTCTGTTGGTAAATTTTTCCAAAGCAAAGCATTTAAAAATACGTTTTCATTTTACCAACATTGTGGTAAGAGATCATACAAGAGCTGCACTGATTTCTATTCAGCTTATATTACTTAGGAACTAGACACACAGCCACTCAAACCTGTTTTTAATAGCGAAAGGAGTACTAATAAGTTCAGTACCCAACAGCCATGTAAGGACAAAAGACGCCAGGGACATTATAGTATAGATGTATCCATTTGTTTGTCTCCATGGAGTTTTCAGCGAATTGGAAAGTTATTCCAGAATTAAAGCTTTCAGTGATGCAAGAAGCTTGCAATGCACATTCATCTAAATGCTACAGGTTGTGCACTTAGACTCCAAATAGCATGGAAAAGCTCTGAAAAGTAAAACTGGCTGAATATTCAGTTTTAGGGCAAAAACCAGACTGATTTCCTTCTGAAGTTGATGCAAAGCACACTAATCAAGACAAGTTACTTCATAAATATGCTCAGGAGAGGGAATATATAAAATATGCACCACGGCATACCTTGTTTTTAAAGGTTCATGATATTACCGTTATGAATTTTCTTCTTGCTCAGTCCTAATTATTTCTTGCATCTTTTTCATTTTTGTATCTTCACTAATGTCATTTAAGAAGTTCCACTTTTTACTACTACATCTCATTTTTTTCAAGTTTGTCCCATGAAAACAACATAGAAGGCAACTGTCCGAAGAATTCATTCAAGGAGTGCAAACATCAAGGAAATTTCTAAAGTTTGAAGTGGACTTACTCTGCAACGGCCAAATTTGAAAAGAAGTTAAGATTTAACCAACTGAAGTTGAGGGTAAAGAAATGCAGTTCTCATGGAGGTCTTCTAACAAGTTAATCAGTAGGTTATATCACTAAGTAAGAAAATAAGAGTCCTCTATATTCAACTAACATTAATGCACCTGATGTTTTATTTTTTAAGTAACAAGTCAGAACACTTGCACTCATTAAGTTACAATTAGTGCGTTTTGTCCTTCCAGGTTGAAAGCTGCACTAGGCAATGTTTCTGAAGTTTAATATGGTTCAGCCAGAAAGCAGTCTGTTCATTGTCGAAACAAGGCTGTGAGCCTAGCATTAAGATTCTTTTATATCTATTCTAACCCCCCTTCCAAGAGCAAATTAAAGACTAGTTCAAATAATTTGCCCACTTACATTGTGTATTTGTTACACTTTGTATCAAATCAAAATTTGATGCTATGGTTTGGAACTGATGTGCTGATATGAATACCACCAACAGTGTTTCACACATATGATTTGTTACCCACAGGCATACTGCAGCTACTTAATTTATTTTATTTTTCATTTATATGCTTAATGACTACATGTGAAGAGACATCAAAAGGGTTAAGGGAACACAAAATAGTACCTGAAAGCATGAGTTACCCTAGGTAGATTGTTGCGATTCAGAGACTATCAACACAACCCCACTGTCTTCAACTACCTGAAGGGAACCACGCAGAGAAGCCAGATTCTTCTCAGAGGTCCATGGTGGTAGGACGAGGGGCAAGAGACTAAAGTTGCAAGAAGGGAAATTCCAATTACATATTAGGAAAGAAGTTTAACAACGAGGGTAACCAAATGTTGTAACAAGTTACCCAAAGAGACCAGAAGTGTTTATCCTTAGAGATATTCAAAACTCAACTGCACAAATCCTGAGCAAGCTGATTTAAGTTGGTCCCGCAGCAGGTTGGACCAGATGACTTCCACAGGTCCCTTCCAACTCAAAATTACTTTGATTCTGCAACATTTGTCCGATGCCTGTTTCCCAGATCAGCTGGGAGTGACAGATGATGCAGCCCCTGATTTAGTCTGAAGAGGCATGCAGGACCTTGTTCAAAATCTTACTGCTGAAGAGCCTCTCTAAAGGAACAATAGCATAATAAGATTCAACATCTCTGGTAGGAGCAACATGAGCCAAGAACTCCCTAACAGCTGTGCTTAGCTTCAAAAGAAGATACTAAAATAAAAGTGAGGATACTAAGGAGGTGCAAAGTTGGCAGTAAGAAGGATCAGATCCTTACAGGTAGCATACAGAGAAAGTAAAGACACCATGTGGACTTACCAGGTAAGAAACACTTGAAAGAGCAAAAGAAAACAGGCAGAACTAGGAGAGTCTACTAGAAACAGGCAGCCTTCACAAAGTTGAGGCAGTACCCAAATGAACATGGCCATGTAGGATTGTTAATTTGTCAAAATAAGACAGAACAAAGCAGACACACACCCCTCCTCAATTTACAACAGGAATAATTAAGAAAAACCCAAAACCACACACCCCACATTCCCTTCTTTCTTCAAAATGTATGGAGAACAATGCATAGGACCAAGAGAGATGATCAGAGTACAGAAGGATGATCATCTGAAAAACACACGCAGAACAGTGATTTCTTTGCAACTGTTCTGTTTCTCCTTCTAAATCCTGAAGAAAACTGAAGCTTCAGTCTTGGGGACTCCCAGAGTCTGTCTCAAGTCAAAGAACAGAGAAGAGGGGAACCTAAACCAAGGTACTAGGATGTGTTCTGATATGGTTTGAATACCCAACACAGTAACAGTGATATATAACTGCACACTTGAAACAAAACTGAATGTACACTATTTGGGTACCAAAGAGCAGAAGAGTGGCAAGCATGATGCAACTCTGATCTCAAGAATAAGCCTGTAAGCCTTATGTCTCTATCAAGCAAGTTAGAAAATAAGGGTAGCACCAAATGAGTATTACATAAATGGGGAAGAATCAAAGCAACTTTTTCAGAGGGAAGTTCTGATTCACAGACCTAGCAGAATTCTCTAAAGGAAGCAGCAAGCACAGGCACAGGAGTCTTACAGCTGATGCAGCTGGTGTGAATGCTCAGAAGTCTTGCAACAAAAAAACAATAAAAGCTTTCAAGGAAGTTAATTGGTCACATGTGAGATAAAAGGTCCTTTCATGGACAGTAACTGGTAAAGAGATGGTAAGCAGACGGCAGGAAGAACAGTCAGTTCTTACTCAGTGGAAGATGCTGACCAGTGCTGTTTCACAGATACCTGTGCCCTTTGTTATATCCATTCATAAATGACCTGAAAGTTAGCTCATAAAATTAAGTCAGTCATCACCATTACAACTGCAAACATTTGTGGAAGGACTTTACAGGACTGAATGACTAGACAATAAATTTGCAGATTAAACTTAGTAGAGGTAGGCGATACATATGTGAAAACAATAATATGAACTGACAAGCCCTGAGCTCATTACTGATGGAGTAAGATATTCGGGTAACAGTATATAGTTTCATGATCTGGAGAAAAGGAAGTGAACACAAAATAGTACACCACTGTCAAAATCTATAGTGCATTCACACCTTGACTCCTGCCTGAGGCTTTGCTCTGCCCCCCATTCTCTCCACCTTACCAACTTGGAAGGAAGAAAACGTCTGGAAATCTGTCTCCTTTTAATTCAATGTATTATTAGTGATGTGTTGCAGCTAAGCAGATTGTGGGATCTAGAGCCTGAAACAGTGTAAGCTGTAAACTCTCGGGTGAAGCACACATACCTGTAGGGACAGTTAATGGTACAACACTGGGGGACCACACAGGGTAGAAGACGCCAAGTCCAATGCAGACTCTTTCATACTTTATCCCAGAAATGGTCCCCAATTCACCTGCTCCCTGAACTATGCCCATGCCAGTGAGCATACTGACAGTTAAGCAATCACTATCAGACCATCACGTTCAGTAATATAGCTTGTTCCCCATCCCAATTTTACTCAGCAGTACAGATTCCAGCCCTGTATATCAAGCCTGTTTTTAATACTCTAACACTCTGTCGGATAGCTGCTTTTGGCTACAGTGCTCCCTCCCAGTCAGAAGTCACCCTTTGCCATAGCCATACTCCCTGCCTTCCCAAGGCACTTTGAGAGGAAGAAACACATTTCAGTCCCAGCACTAGAATGTGTGGTGTTCCCTAAGAGATAGTCTTTCCCCAAAGAAACTCCTGCCACCCACCCCCCACATTTGTCTTTCTAACATGTACAGTCTTTGTTACACATGGAGGTCTGCAATCCTCCCTTAGCTTAGGCAGCCACCAGCCTCTTCCAACATAACCCAAAAGAAACTTGCAAGGACTCTCACATAGGGAAATCCTGCAAAGAGGCATCATCTCCCATGTGAAGATACTAGGCTAGGAAGAACTTTAACAAGCACAACCATCCTTGCATGCTCAGGATGTTGACCTCTCCATTGCCCATCGACTGCACAGCACGGCTCTTGATCGTCTTCCCAAACTGTTTGCTCAGAGTTGTCAAATCTTTGCTTACCTGAATGAAGGTAGCACCCTCTACTGCTGCCTTCAGGTCCGTACAGATGCTGATGAGAGCCAACTGCTGCTCCGCGCTCAAAGCTCCTTTCAGGAATCCCGACTCCTCCAGCTCTTTCATTTGTTTGCTGATAGAAACAACATACACGTTTGAGTACTTTATCATTATTAAGCCACCACTAATTTTTTAAAAAGCTTCTTAACGCCTCAGTAGTTATTACGCTATTTGCCATGCTATGGCTGTATTTTTTTAGTATAAATATATAAGGTTAGCTTCAGTCATTTCTTTGCTCCCTCCATCTTACAACATTTTTCTTCCCAAGTATCAACAGCTCCAAGATCTACTCCTAGATGCAAGTTTGTCACCACCTCAAACCTGTTTTCACTGGTGCAGGATCAGCAAGAGTTTTTATACTCATATTTAATGGGAAGACAAGTCCCTTTAACGTACTTCATCTAGTTTTACAAACAGTTCTTTTGTTACAAAGCCTCACTGCAGGAACACTGTTTAACCGTATAGAAATAAATAACAGTCCACACAGCCAGTAGTCCTTCCTAGAAAACCTGTACCCCTACATAGGTAATGACTACAGAGCAAGTGTCAGAAAATTCTGGTGGTCACTAAATTAAGTGGTCAGAGCTTGAAATGATGTTCAAGTACACACCATTGCTGGGGCTGAACACGCCACTTTCTCAGAAAAAAAGTCTCTACAGCTTGAAACCCTTGAAAATCCAAAGCAAGTAAGCCATTTTCAAAACCGTTCAGTGTCACTTTGAGGAGCAATTTCCACAGAAATTAAGTGGGATTAAACTATCTGATCATGATCAACCTAAAGCTATTTTATGTAGCCATTATCACAGTTAAATCTGTCAGTTATCTCAAGCCAGAAGGCCTCTGAGCCTTTGGTTATTAATCAGCAACAATTGCTCATCCTGAGTAGAGGAGAAAATTGAGCTAATGATTAGCAGCAGGAAAATAAAATTTAAAAAAACAACAACCAAAAAACAAAAAAAAAACACAATCCTTTCTTCTCCCTACCAACCTAGTTCTGAAGCTTTGGCTTCTTTTTGGATGCTTTTTTTACATGAGAAATAAATTGCACTTGCCACCCAGTTGGAGGGTGAAAAAGCTGTAGCAAACAGAGAAGCTGTACAGCCTGGAAAAACTTAGTGTTATTTTTGTACTTCACAAATGACATAACTGCATATAGAAATAACCAGTGATCCATCATGCGTTTCCTAAGTGACTGAGGCACACATGACAGTCTTCATTAGGGACTTTACAGGACAGTACACGTTAAATGGGCAGAACTTCTTCATACCAGGCCCAGATGATCTCCATTCCCAGCCATGCCTCAGTCCTTAATACACCTGCCCAAGCCCTTCCACGTACCCAGACAGTAATACTGGATTTATTTTTGCATCTAGAGTCTTCAGAGAAGACGTGTCACAACCTACTCCACACCCTCCCCCAGCCACAGGCAGACACCGTCCTTTGTCCTTCGAAGCAGGGCAGGCGGTGAGATGTCAGCCCTGGACCCCTTCTCTGGGCCAGCTCCAGCCCGTACAGGGGCAGCACCTCCTCAGCCCCTGCCAGCCCTGCCGCCACGGCCACCTTCACATCAGCCACCCGAAACAACCCAGACAGGGAGCAGCTGGGCCTCAGCTCTCAGTTGCTTTATGAAGTGGCAGGAGGTGTCATCTCTATTTTGCAAGCAGTATTTTAAATTAATTGAAAAGGGAGAGGCATGTAGATCCTTGCCTCTATCTTTTTTCTCTTTCTACTCTTTCCAGGCCATCTGCTGAGCCACGTGTGATAATGCACTGTCACTCTGTCAAACCATCCTTTTAGAGCTCGTTCCTGTCAGCAAGTATTGAGTCCACAGATCAAACACAAATGTTAAGCTTCCTCCTCCAGATTTCCTAAACAAAATGAGTGGGATTCACCTCACCTACCCTGTTGACATGCACATCTGAGACAATCATCTTCAGCTCTCTTTTAGAGAAGGGAGAACTAAGTGTTTCAGGTGCATTTGTCCGATCTTTTTTAGGCATCCAAGTATCCAATCTATCTTGTCTCATGAGCAAAGTACCCATTGCTCCCCAAAGAAAATAGCTCACAACGAGATATCTAGACTACAGTATTCTGAAGTCACCAAAGATGTAAGTGTGCAGGGATTTATTTAAAGAACTATACAGAAGCAAGTCAAACCTCAGCAGAGGGTCCTCAGATCTTTAGCTTGAACCAGCTCCCTAAACCTACCATTAACTTTGATGTCTTTTCTTCCACTCAAAGTAGTGGAAAAGAGAACTTTTGTTTCCCAGCAAACAAAACAGCTTCCCAATACATCTTTCTGACACCAACTCAGAGCAGCAATACCCTATCCTGGGAGCAATCCCACTAAAAATCAAGATAAGGAGCAACCAGTAGTCACTTAGCAGTTGCCAAAAAAAAAAAAAAATAATATGCATAGAGCAGTTCTGCTCCTGGTTTAGCACAACAGTCAGAAGAAACAAGTACCTTCAGACCACCGTGGACTTTGTACATTAAATCAAAAGGATTTCCAATAACATGGGAGTAGGTAAGAAGTCAGAGGCTCTGCTTGAAGCTGGTAAAGGTGACAGTGCACCTGCCAAACCAGAACATGCGTTTGTATTTCAAACCGAGAAGAACAAAACCAACAACAAAAATCCACATGCATGTGCACACACAGCGCTAACTCCTACAAGCATTAACTTTCTCCTCTTTAATGAACTGTTTCAGCAATTAACTCCAGATAATAATTTCTGTACCACAAGTTCTAACACTTGCACTTTATTTTTGTCAGCTGATCACAGACAATGATTTTTGACTCTCAGGCAGAGCACACCTGGGTAAACAGCTAGGTACTGCATTCTGTTTACATTGGACAAGAGCTTTGAAAAGGTTCAATTCATTCTTAGCTGGAAAATGAAGCCAAGTCATACGCTTTTTAGACACTGCTCAGGTCCGCCCTGTTTGCTTCCCTGGACTCCCTTAGACTGGGCACCAAAATTAGTATTCCTACCAGTTTATGCAGTCCAAAACTCATGAAAAGAATTACATTAATAGCTTTCTGCCTCTTTTCTCAAATATGGATTTAGGCTCAAAAAATCCAGACTTTTCCTATCCAAAGCTAAACTAATCGGAAATTCTTTTCTAGTAACTTTTGTCTAAAAGCACTTCAAGAACAAGATTTTAAAAAATAATGAAAAACAAAGTAAAAAAAAAAAAAAAGAGGAAAAAAAGTGCTCAAACACACCCCTCCAGGCAGCATCACAGAAATAAGTAGGAAATCCATCAAGTTTCTGGATGAGTTCCCCATTTGGTTTCTTAACACCACAGCAAATGGGTGGCTGGAAAGCACAGTCTTCTGCCTTTGAGCAATCTGTGTGGTAAAGAATAGGAAATAGGAAGCTTCAGCTCCATTTTCCAAGCTGCCAGGGTACAGCTCAGCTGGCCAGGCAGCAGTTCCATCCAAGACCTAAGGCTTCCAGCACCCAAAATGTGCCAGTTCATCATCTGCAAAGAAACAGGTGCACCTAAACTAGAGCATCCAAACGTCTGACTCCTTCACACCTTGTGAGGTGAGATGGTACGGAATCAATCATAAAATCATTGAATTGTTTAGGTTGGAAAGGACCATTAAGATCATGGGGTGTTTTTATTCACCTTCGTGCATGCCTCAAGGGCTGCTCGTACAATATGTATGAATTAAACTGGTCAGACCAAGTTTCTGACAAAGAAACTGGTACGGTGGAAATGTTAAATCCTCTCTAGTAGAATCTGAGAATCATTTAGGTTGGAAAGGACCTTAAAGTCATCGAGTCCAACCATTAACCTAGCACGGCGAAGCCCACCACTAAACTACGTCCCTAAGCACCACATCCACATACCTACTAGAGGAGAGGCCATACTGGACTTGGTCATCACCAATGTAAGCGAGCTCATTGGTGACATCAAGATTGGAGGCAGTCTGGGCTCCAGTGATCAGGCACTGATGGAGTTTGAAGTCTGGAGGGATGTGGGT